TTTTTAGTTTTGTAATATTTTTTCCTGTTTTAAATATAAGACAGAAATATCCTTTTCATAAAAGCCAATAAAATTACTTAAAGTTTATTAAGCTAATTTATTGTGTGTAATTTATGTATATGTTAAGTTCTTGTATCTATTATATCAAAATTTTCAATTATACAAGGTCATGTATTCTTTTTTGTTTCAACTAAATTATTTAATTAAATGCTAATATTTTAAAAATAGAACACATGATCATATGTATGATTGGAGAACTTGACATAATAGATATAAAAAATTTAATATAAATATTGTGGTTTTTCATATTTGACCTTTATTAGCTAATGGTTGAGATTCCACACTATAAATCCCAATTTTTTTTTTATATCTAGTATATCAAGTTCTCAATCGTACATGCCCACATGTCATTTTTTATTTTATATGAATTTATACTTAAATACTATTAATTGAATATTAATATTTTAAAAATAGGACATATGGTCATACATGACTGAAAAATTTGATATACATGTAAAAAACTTGATCTAAGTATTGTTTTTTGAATTTCCAAAACACCTCCACAAATGCCCTTGAGATCAAAGGGCGGGGGAAGTATAATAAATAGCTTTCTATTTTATTTTTATTTTTTAACCAAACTTTCTATTTTTATGATATCATCAAAAAATATTAATTCATTTTTGTGGAGTGAACAGGTCAATTATCTCTTTTTTGAAAAATAAAAAGTTTCAATTAAACTAATATCCAGAAGGGGCTTTGGTCACTGAAGTGCTCAATCTCGAGTTCAATTCTGCATAAACGTAGAAAACTTTCGAAGGTCCACTTTCAGTGGCGACACTTTTATCACTGCTGAAAGTCTTAATTTCAGCAACGAACTTTCAGCGGCGACTTTTTTTGTTACCGCCAAAAGTCGCCGCCTAAAGTATGTTTTTTTGTAGTGGATGGTATTCATTTGATTAGAACTATTTTCTGATGGAAACTTTTACAATCAATAAGGATATTTTAGATAAAACATTATAATTTTTTTTTGAATGATAAACATTATAAGTTTTTGGGGGTTAAAGTGGATTGAGATTTTATATTTGGGACCAAATTCAATTCCTAACTTACTCTTATATTAAGGATTAAAAGTAACATAAGACTTTAATACACTTTGAAAGTAATGCCTAAGAAGAATTGGCTTCACCAACGCCACATCATCGTCGCCAGTCGCCACATCATCGTCACCGGCCGCCACTTCATCACCACCGGTGCCATGTCATCGTCGCCGGCCGCCACATCATCACCGTTAGTCGCCACGTCATCGCCACATCACTCCTTCTCGCCACGTCATCGTTCAAATATTTTCACCTTAAATGTATCTTCTTCAAGGTTCGAACTTGTGACCGTCTCCTTTCGCGTCCAATCTTCTTGCCGCTGAGCCAGATTGAATTTGTTTATTAATATTGTAAAATAAAATATATATTATTATATTACGCTTTCAGCGGCGACATATAAGCTTAATTTTTTTTTTAAAAAATAATAATCAGTGCGAAATCTTCATTTTGAGACCAACCCTATTGAGTTTAAAGTACGGAAAGAATATAATAAAATTAAATAATTAAACTAAATCTTTATGTAAAGTTATCACAGGTGCGCTTTTGCAAAAAAAAAAAATTATAGAAAAAATGTGCTTTATACGTAACGAGAACACTCTATCGGAATTGAGTTGTAATGAGCACCAAATTTAGGTATTTAAAATAATTCTAATCTATTAATTATTAGTTTTTCAAAAAATAATTTTATTATTTAAAAATCATCACTTAAGAATTTTAAATATCAATTGCATTAATTAAAAAATGAAAAAAAAGGATGATTCAAAGATAACACTATAAATAAAACTAAAATATATTTATAGTCCATTAACTTTATACAAGGTTTTAATTTGATTCTTTAATTTTAAAAGTTATATTTTTAAAAGTCCCACCGAAGTAAAGAAAATGGGAGCTAATGAGATGATTACTGTTTCCAATTTTTAATATTAGAGCTAGTTAATTAATTTGAGCATATTAAAAAAATTGATTATGTTAGTTATTTATAATAAATAAATATTTTTTTAAAAAATATTCTTGCTAATAATATATATTAGCTAGAACTATTTAATAAAACATTTAATATATGTAACTACTACGAGAACTATCTTAAGAAAAATATATAAATAAGATAAACAAAATGAATTGGGATTTTGTATTTAAAAATAAATTAAATGTCAAACTATTCTTATATTAAATAATGAGAGGTAATATTAAGAATCTCATTTATTTATTGCGTTCAATAATTGCAACCCCTTGGATTTTTTTTTTTTTTTGCCCCGGACGATAAGGGTATCCACGCAATTGTCCAACCAATGATTCTCTCACAAGTCAATTGCGTTGGTTTAAAGAATTATTGCCTTCACTTTGTAACTCTTCCACCATGAGTAAGTTATTTTGTTTTCCCCTCTTTTTTCTTGTTGTAAGCATTACTTACATGAATAATGCATACAGCTTGGATAGTTCTCACGAATATTGATTTTACAATTTTCTCTTATTTCCACTTCCTTTAAAAATATTTCAGTCAACAACAAAAATTTTCAACATCTAGTACGAAAACGCTTGATGAAACTTTGGAAAAAAGGATATTGAGCAACAATTTTTAGCAAGGACAAAAAAATCGTCACTAAAAGTTAATTTTTACTACAACGTTAAAAATCTTCATAAAAACTTCTTATCCGTAATGAATCTAAATGACCTCAGACTTGCTAAGGATTTATAAGTTGTCGTTGCGGACCTCATTTTTGGAATAGTTAAAAGTGAGACTTACGATTTTAAAGACTTTTGAGTGTTACTAGTCTTTTTGCCAAAGACATTTAGTCACTATACAAAGCACTACAAAAAAATTGACTTTCAGCGGCGACAAAAGTCGCCGCTGAAAGTACAAAAGTCGCCGCCGAAAGTTTTTTGCGGCGATAAGTCGCCGCTGAAAAGTCGTTGCCGTAGCAGCCGTGGCTGAAAATTTTCAATGGCGACTAAAAATGTCACCGTTAAAAGATATCTTCAGCGGCGACTTTTAGAAGTTTCAGCGGCGACAAATGTCGCCGTCGAAAACACTTTCGGCGGCAACATTTGTCGCCGCTGAAAAGTCCTTCAGCGGCGACAAAACAGTCGCCGCAGAAAACACTTTCGGCGGCGACACTCTTGTCGCCGCTGAAAGTGTTTTTCTGCGGCGACTTTTTTGTCGCCGCTGAAAGTAATGCCTAAGAAGAATTGACTTTACAAATGCCACGTCATCACCGCCAGTGCCACGTCATCGTCTCCGGCCACCACGTCATCACCGTCGACCTCCACGTTATCACCATCGGCGGCCACGTCATCACCGCCGACTGCCACATCATCACTAGCCACCTCCACGTCATTGCCACGTCACTTAAGTGAGATTTTGAGCAGCGATCATGAATATTGCTTCTGAAAATCTCCTCTTAAAAGACTTTCAGGATTGAAAGTCATAGTCATAGCTTCCTTTTAAGGATTTTCAGTCGTCATTGAAAATCTTATTTTCAAAAAAAATATGTTTAAACTAGTGGTAGCAAAATGGCCTTTTTAAAGTGTTCTGTGCAAAATTATGTTCGTCCCCTATTTATCCTTCAGTGAACGCAAACACATGGGCAAATATCTCCAAACCTTCCTCCAGATTTCATCCTCTCTTTAATAGATAGATAGAGAGAGAGAGAGAGAGACGAACACCTCTAACCAGAAGAGACCATCAAAAGCATATTTCAATGAACAAATGTTAAGTATTGATTTGACAGATCATCCCCAACCCAATAATGAAAGATGATATGATACGCCACCAACTTGCTCGCTCATTTGTTTTCTCTAGTTCTTTTTTTAGGCTTTTTTTTTTTTGGTTTTTTATTCCATCTTGTGGGACATACGTATTGCATTCTTTGAAGTACAAGAGGGTCTCTTTACTTTTTATTGATTGTAAAACATAATTATTTCTTCTTTTTTTTATCTTGAATCCCTTTTTTTACTTTTATTGTTTGTAATTTATGCCCCCCCATAAAATTTTATGCTTAGTTTTGTACTATTTTCTCCCATTTGGAATATAAGCCACAAATATCATTTTCATGAAAAAAACCAATAAACTTACTTAAAGTTTGTTAAGCTAATTTATTGTTTGTAATTTATATTTATGTTAGGTTTGTTATATGTATTATATCAAGTTTTTCAAACACACAGGGTCATGTATTCTTTTTTCTTTGGAGTAAATTTTTAATTAAATACTAATATGTTAAAAATAAGACACATGACCACACATGTGATTAAAAAATTTGACATAATACATATAAAAAAATTTAATGTAAGTATTGTACTTTCCCATATTTGACTTTTATTAACTAATGGTTGAGATTCCACACTATAAATCCTAATTTTTTTTCTTTTCTATGGTGATTGATGGAAAATGTAATAACGGGTAACCCAAAAAAAAATTTATATTTGGAAAAATTTAGGTTAATTTTTTTATATATCTATTATGTCAATTTTCAATCATACACGTCCATATGTTATTTTTTTTATTTCATATAAATTTATAATTAAATGCTATTAATTAAACATTAATATTTTAAAAATAGGAGACATGGTCATGACTGAAAAATTTGATATAATGGATGTGAAAAACTTGATGTAAGTATTGTTGTTTTTTGAATCTCCAAGACACCTCCACAAGTGCCCTTGACATCAAAGGGCGGGGTGAGTATAATAAATAGCTTTCTATTTTATTTTTAATTTTTTGACCAAACTTTCTATTTTTATGATATCATCAAAAAATATTAATTCATTTTTGTGGAGTGAACAGGTCAATTATCTCTTTTTTGAGGGAAAAAAAAACAAGCATCTAATTAAACTAATATCCAGAAGGGACTTTGGTCACCGAAGTGCGCAATCTCGAGTTTGATTCTGCATAAACGTAGAAAACTTTCAAAGGCTGTTAAAACTTTGAAAGGCTTTGTTCTTCAAGCACAAATCATCAAATTTAGAGGCAGCGTCGGATCCTTTTAATAAATCTCTTGCGATCAATCCATACGCAGCTTCTGTCAAATGAATACCATCCCAACTTATGTACTTTGAAGGATCGTCACAAACTTTCACTCCTTCATCTCCACATAATTTTGTAAAATCTACATTGTAGGCCCCCCCAGTTCCACAACAAGCTTTCAGACCCATAAAACCTGTAATATATAATTTCATAACATTATCACAAATCAGAAAGTTATAATAGCACAGATCAAATTTGTCATTTAGATTTGAGAAGAATCAATATTATTACCAAATTTTTTGGGAGAATGATAGAGTGGTAATGCGGCGTTATAATAATCAGCATATATGATATTGGCATGAGGATGAAGCTCTTTGAGTTGATTTAATTCAGCCTGAAGCCTCTTATTGAAGTATTCAATGAACTTGTTTAACCATATCAAGCAACCATATTCATCATAGTCCTTCTCATTGTTGCTCTCAAACCTTGTTAAATAGATTGCACCACATCCTAGTGGTAAAATTCCAGGAACGATGAGCGTTTGAGCCCCTACATCTATCAAATCCTGCGGCCAAAAATATGTTGAATTCCTTAATTTGTGGGCATTAATAAAATTTGTTAATTTAGTTAACTATTATAAATGTGTGTTGATTTTTCTAAAAACCCCTTTTTATTATACACAACCCATGGGGATAGTTTGAAAAACAAAATTATGAATTTGAAAGACAAATTGTGTATTAAAGTCTTATGCTACCTTTTTTCCTTAATATAAGAGTAAGTTAAAAATTAAATTTGATTCTAAATATAAAATCTTAATCCACTTTAACCCCTCAAAAATTTGTAACGTTCTATCTAAAATATCCTTATTAATTGTAAGGGTTTCCATCAGAAAATAGTTTCAATACACATAATTAAATAAGATAATTTAGGAAAATCAACACATATTTGTTATAATTAACCGACTTAACTAATTTTTATAATTTTTTCAAATTATTTATTTAGTTCTTATATTAAAGACTAACGGTAGTATTTAAGATTAAAGTAAATACCTCAATTAAATCTTATACTCAAGACCAAAAAAAAAAAAGTAAGATACAATACATACTCAAACAGATATACGTATGTGTGTGTGATGTAAGCTGAAACAATTGCATAGCTTATTCAAAAATCTTACAGTTATTGTTGAAGAGATCATATTAATCACATGAGGCACGTAAGTTTTGATCTCTGCTAATCTTCTTCCCTCAAAAAAACACGTTTTGAAGTCATTGACTCCAATTTCTCCCACCAGAAATAGTGACTTCTCAAACACTGTCTTACAGCCTGCATGATTAAAACGTGTTGTGTGTCCCATAGTGCTCGTGTCAGATAATATGTCAGGGGAAATTTGACCCACATTAACTAAACTTCCAATTAAATTATAATTTTGGCAAAAAAAATTAAATTATAATTTGTATAAAAGATTTTTATATTAGAGGTGACAATTGAATATTAAAAGGAAAAAGACAAAAGTACTCATTTGCCAGCGCAAGATTTTTTTTTCCTCCTTAATTTTATAAGATGTCATTGTAGTTTTCTGACATTAATTTTAGTTTCACTAAGAAAAATATTAACATTAAAAGTTTAAATATTGATAAAATATGCATAAATACTGACATATAAGCTTAATTTTTTTAAAAAAATAATAGTTAGTACGAAATCTTTAGGGAAAATTCTAATTAAATCCATTTGAAATAGAAAAATCCTAATTTAAGCCTACATTTTTAACAAATTCTTAATTAGGCTAAGAGGCCTAATTGGAGATTTCTAAATGTTGCTAAAAGACCAAAATGCCCTTCATAATTAAAAAGGCTAATTTTAGTTTTAATTCTTTTAATTGAATTTAACGGACATGTTTTTTCTTTAAATATTATCATATGAAAATTTGGCCAAAAATATTATCATATAAAAAATGAAAAAGAAAAATCACGATTATGGCCAATAAAAAATAATTGACAAGTCAAGATAAAAAAATGCATAATTTCTAGATATCCATAGAATTACAAAAATATGGGAATTAATAAAAATTTTACGATTTCAAATGTCAAAGATTAACAGGATCAAATGACCAACCTATTAAGGTTAAAGTGCTGAAAGAATATATTATAAAATTAAATAATTAAATTAAATCTGTATGTAGAGTTATCACAGGTGCACTTTTGCCAAAAAAAAATTATAGAAAAAGTGTGCTTTATAAGTAAAGAGGACACTCTGATCTCCATCGGAATTGAGTTGTGATGAGCACCGAATTTATGTTTTCTTTATTTCTACTTTTTGGAAAAAAAATTATTTTAGTGAATATAGATTTTAAAATAATAATAATAATAATAATCTCTTAATTATTAGTTTTTTCAAAAAATTTATTATTTAAAAATCATCACTTAAAAATTTTAAATATGAACAGTTGCAATTGTTTTTGGTTGGTGAAAATTCTCACCATAACGATGAGCATTCAAACCATCTCATCGTGTATTTAACTGGCTATTCCATTCTTTATCCATATACAGATTACAGGGAAATTAGTAAATTACATGCTTTATATACATATATGTGAATGAAAAATTAGGAACTTACTTGAGGAAGAATTGCAGATAGAAGGCAACAATTCCTTGAACCATCCCAATTGAACTCTGAGAGAATCATTGGTAAAGCCATAGTGAATACCTATCTCTTCAAAGAAACCTACATTCAACGCAGTTGCTCCAGAAACAGCAAAATTCACTCCCTCCTCTTTCTTCCAATTTCTTGCTTCACCATTCTTAATTCTCTCATATGGTTTCACTAATGGAATACTTAATGACTCAGCTGCATAGAAAGAACAATTTCGATGTAAGAGCACATATTAAGGGGAAAAAAATAGTTGAAATAGATAACGTTTGTAGTCGCACAAGTGAGAGGATAGTAAGTTAAAGTAGTAAACGTATATATAAAATGAACGATCAAGTCCAAAATACCGATGAAGTCAATGATAAGACGGCCATCGGAGGATCTTCCGGTGGGGTGGCCGAAGTAGGATGCTCCGTAGGGAGGAGAGCAGCTGCGCCTGAGTGGGAAGCTGAAACACAGGTTTCCGGTATCGGTAATTGAATCGCCGAAGCTGAAGATGGTGGTGTAGGGGCACCCTGCAGAATTGGCAATGAATGATGAAAGCGTCGCTGTATATAGTATTAGGGCTACTTTCTTTTGTCGTTGCAGAGTCCAAAGTGGAGAAGACGACGGAGAAGAAGCCATTAATGATAAGGTAGGAATAGTTAATGTCCACTGCGACCAAAAGCAGACTTTAAGGGAACAATTTTACCCCGACAAATAAATAAGATTTTTTTAAAAATTCATAATCATAAGGCATTGAAATCGTGTAGTTTCCAAAATTAAACAACTCTGAAATAATTGAATGATAACTTGCTTCGGCAGAAACTTATGGCCATGGGTTTGAGCTGGTACGACCAATAGAAATGTCATTCCCAAATAATTGAATGACAGCTAAGTTGCTTTTCTGAGTGGGAGATTTTTATTCAAAAACCTGACACGTTTACAAATTAGGACCCCAAAAGTTGACAGCTAAAGATTGCCTATGTGTAGTGTATTTGGATCACCGTTGTCGAAAATGCCTTTTATTTTAGTTGACTTTTGTAAATTAAAATTAAGTCAGTTAATATAATGAAATTAATGTTTGAATAGATTTTTACAAGAAAATAAGTTTATATGTAAAATAATTGAAACACATGACTTTTATTAGATATACATATTACTTCCAACCTTTAATATAAAATTTAATTTGTATTCTAAATCAAATTATAAGCTAGATTTTATACTGATGATCAAATAATATATATATATATATATTATAGAATTTGTTGTAGGGAGGGCAGAAGCATTCGAGCGGTGGGATTGGTTAATTAGGAGCACAAATACAAATTTTCGGTATTATCAATATGGATTTGTATTGGGTGCTTATCAGATCTGGACGGTCCAGATCTGATCTGGATGGTCCAGATTTAATTTTATTTTTATTTTTATTTTTTTACAATAATTATTTTAATAGGTATATGATAAAAAAATAAGATAATTTCTTCACTATCATTCTTTACAAATATTTTTTTTATTTTTAAATAATTATTTAAAAATATTAAATATGGACCATCCAGATTAGATCTGGATGGCCCGGATTGCTCATCAGGGGATGAGCACTGGGTGCTCATCGCCTGATGAGCAATGAATGCGGACGCTATCAATATATGAAATCTCTTTTTGTTTTTACGGAGGGAAAATGAGTAACGAAAGGAGAGTGGAAAGAAAAATAAAAAGAAAAGTGAATTTTTTTGTTTGGATGGAAGAGAAAATAAACAGAAAATCATTTCCTTTTCTTGTCGTCTATCTTTGGTTTTTATATTATATTTTTAGCATATATTAAGAATGTAAAATGATCTATAATTCATTTATTTTTATTATATATAATTTCAAAAAATTATTCATTTTTTTCGCCTTGAAGATTAACATTGTTGTTTTGAAATATAGTAACGAATACATACTTTTATCAAATAATTTCACGTTAAATTATTTGATGATAATAATATTAATATGATTTTTTATTTTGATATTTAATTTGATTTTAAATTTGATATATTTTTATATTTCTATTTTTCTATTTTTCTCTTTCTCTTTTACTTACTCTCCTATTTTCCTTCGTCTCGACTTCTCATCCCACACCAACGGAGCATAAAACTGAACATAGATGTGTCGGTGCGCCCTGTGGGAGTGAGAATGACTGGCAGCAATATATTAATGATAACAATAGGAGTAGTGATACAGTCCTCTGCTGTTGGAGATAACCTGGAGAATTGAGCCTAGCACTAGTTTGAGTTACGGCGGACTAGTTTTTATAAACGTAGTGAATTAAATTTTGAATTATTATTAAAAGAGATATGTATATTTGATACAAACAGAATTATTTTTAATAAAAAAAAAATACTTGCGTCCGCTTAAGAAAAAGAGAGACCTAACTGGAGGAGATGAATCAGAACGAGCCGTTAGAAAGGACAAGGGCCACTGATCACTCATCAGTCTATGGGAACAAGCCATGTGCCTTCACCTTATTATCAAAAGTACAAAACAGTAACTGCGCTCTCATACAGTTTATATTCATTGTGTTAAATTTATAATAATATTTAATACTCTTTCTATCTTTAATAATATAGAACCTAATTATTAAGTTAATTTTAATTTTAAATATAAGACTTATTTTTCATATTTATCAGTTTTTCTTAAATTATCACTTTAGATACTCCCTCAACCATAATCAAATAGAAGAAGAAGGGAGAATATTAAAGAAAATGATTATGGTGTTTTAGAAAAAACATGTCATATTTTTTATAATTAACTAACTTATTTAACTTTCTTAATCTAATCAAATTAGTTAAATAAATTTTATATTAAGGACCAAAGATGTAATATTTAATTATAAATTTATATGAAAAAAATGAAAGGATATATGACTATGTGTTATTGGAAAACTTTACGTAATAGATTAAAAAATTGATTTATTTTTTTTTTCATTTTTTATTAAATTTTTTAACCAGATTCTTTATTAACCCTTTGAATTTTACGAGACGAATATGAGGTTTTAAAAATAAGGCCAAAATACACACCCTCAACTTTGGGTAAGTAGCATAAAACCCCCTCAACTTTAAAAGTTTAATTCTACACCCTCAACTTTCAGATTGTAACCATGAGCCCCTTACCGTAGAAATGGCCGTTAAATCTAACAGAGTGAATGACATGTCAGCTTATTAAAATTTATGTGGCAAATGACATGTAGTTTTTATTATTATTTTTATTTATCTTGAGTTAAAACTCATAATTATAAAAGAGGGCATTTTCAGTTATTTAACCTATAATGATCCCTGGTGTTTAGATTCCATCATTGTCTCCCTTTCTCATCTTCTCCTAATTCTGCAACTAGTAAGTCCTCTCCCTTCCCAACCTTTGATCCATTCTCTAACCATCTTTATTGTTTCAAAAATCATCTTCATTACCTTTTTCCTTCTGGAATTTTTTCCCCCAATTTTGAACTTTTTTGTTTAATGATTGCATTATCTTCTCTTTTTGTCTTGCAAGTCCACCACCTTATTGGCACCGTTCCTCAAATTTTCTGATCTTCCTTCTCATTCCAAAAACTCATCATTATTTATCCTATCTTCATCACATTATTCGTTTAAATTTAGAACCTGTATTTCAACATATGCGAGAGGGCGCCTTGCATCAAAGTGAAAGATAGGAATCACTATTGTGCACTTTTTTTTAACAGAGGGTGAAGCAACCAAAAAAGAGAGAGATGAGATGCTCAGATTTGAAGAAAATTGATAGTGGTGTCCGCTGCTAATTAACAATGTAGAAATTTAGTTCGAACTTATTAAACTTGTCCTGTGCATTGTTGACACTTTTATATTTAGTGTTTACATAACTTAAACGAATGAATTCACCTTGGGGTTGTTAATGATGTCTAATGCGCACTTGTCTATCACTTGTTCATTTGACTGATATTTGACAATCGACATATGGGATATTAGTTGCTAGCCTAAATTGCTTGGTATATTTTGTTGCTGACAAAATCTAATTGAAATGTGATTATATCAGTTGCAATCCTCAATCGATTGGTATGTTTATTTTATATAATTATATAATAATATCAGACTCAATATTCAGATATAGAGATGAGAAAATAATATTTTATGAGATCACGTCTTCTGGTTATAAACAAAATGGGTGCAAAACAATAAGGAACTATGAATTATGTTCTACCACAATTGAAAACAAGAGTCAATGTACTAGATGATGGTGCTAAGATTCATAATGAAGACTCCATTCTTATCAAGAATGAAAGTGAAATTATTTAAGGACCTGAAAGACGTGTAGATGTTCACAGTGCAAAATGCATCATCTACTTGAACATATGGTATGAATATGTTACTGTTACTCCATGCCTTCATAATTTTTTATGCATAAAATCAGGTTTAAGACTTGTATTTAATTTCTTAGAATAAACAAGAAAAAGTAACGAAATAAATTATAGCAACCAAATTAAACAAATACAAATTGATCACATTGAACAAAAATAACCTTTAGTTTAAGTGGTTAACAGATACTAACTAAAGTATATGGATATTCAAATAGTTTTCAACTCCCACCACTTCTTTTGTCCTGTGCTACAAAGAAAAAAGAAAACGTAACATTGTTGATGAAATTTCAAACAACAACTGGAACCATAAGTGGAACTCCTCCTAACAACAACTAGAACCATAAGTGGAACTCCTCCTATCCTGCAAATTTTGAACTGCAAATTTCTTAGAATTAAAAAGAAAACATAACATTGTTGATGAAACTTTTTGCTCAATATGCTTGAAATTTTGAAATCTCAACATTATGATCCCTTCGCACTTGATTTGAAAATGCTATTAGCTCCAATTTGGTTGGTCCCTAATGTAGTCAATGTACCTATTAAACAACTAACTTGCGCTCACCCATTTATTTTCTCTTGCCCAACCAACATTGTGCTCTTTTTGATGGAATGACTTAGTTTGAAATGCATTTCTAGTATGAGTCTTTGATGTATGTATAACCCATCCACAATTATGCTTACACTTCACCCTAATTCGTGATGCTTCATTTTTTTTATATACTTGAACTCAATGCCATTCTCAATGGCATATTGCTTTAATGCTTGCCTATAAACTTTGAAGTTTGTAAACTTCATACCAACTTGAAGATTAATAGGTCTTTTAAAATCTGTCTTCTCATTAAACTTACTATATGATCGTCTTTCTATTTGTGGGCCTTCATTGTCTAATCCATTTGGACTTGCCAACTCCTCACTATCCTCATAATCAAACTGCACTTGTCCATCCCAATCGCATCCATATTCATTGACTTCCATAGGTATTAGGGTAACATTATTGACTTTTGGTCCGCTTTGTGCATTTTTGTTCCTCGTACCTCTACTTGTGGCTATTCCCCTAATTGGTTATCATGCAACTATTGATTAACTTCTATCTCTATTCCTTCATCAAGATTTTCAAAAAATAAATCCACCAGCTTATTGTCACTATCAAAAAATTCACATCCATTCAAATAAGTTTGGGTGTTTAACTCGTACCCTCTAACTCTTTGTTCCTCCTCATGTATTGGATCCTCTTGTCTGTTAACCATATTCATTTTCATAGTTGTTTTTAATATCC